CCCTGTTATAGAGTCTTAAAAAGGGGGATTTAAAAAGTCCCCATCCCTGCAGATGTCCACGGAATCAGAAAGTGTTTGGGGGAGAGGAGAGGAGAGGAAGCCCCGGTGACCCCGTGAGCTGCAGAGACTGCTGACCCCCTCACAGCTCAGGATCTCACTGTGGAAAGCAACAGGAAGCATGGCCGTGGGTCCCAGGGGTCCCCAGCACAGGGGGGGCAGGAGACATCCAAGCTGGGTTCTGCTGTCTTCCCACAGTGGCTCCCAGAATAATCAGAATAAGGCTGATTATTGGAATCAATCCCAGGTTTTCCCAGGCGCCCTGGAGGCGGCCGCATCCCATGTAGAGGGAAGAGGAGAGGCAAGGGGGTGTGGGCAGGTCCTCCAAAGACTGTCCTCAGGTCCAGCCCCTCTTCCCCTGGGTCTCTCTTTTGTTTTCTTTCTCCTCCTCCTCCTCCTTCCTCCTCCTCACTGTTTTTCTTACAGCCATGGTTTCCCTCTCTGAGGTCCGATCTCCTCCAGCTGCCCAGGGTGCCTCTTTCTTCTCTGCCCTCCCCTGGCTGCTCCTCTGCCTTTCTCTGCCTTTCTCTGCCTCTCTCACCACCCGCTCATCCTGGTCTGCATTATTTTTGCGAGTGTCTCTCCATCTCTACCCCTGGATCCTGGAGCTCTCAACTCCTCTCTCCTTCCCTCCCCACCCCCCCTCCCACCCCATTGCCTCCTCCTGCAGCGTGGGGGTGGCTCTGTGGGATCCAGGCATCAGGAGACAAATGTACCCGGGCTGGTAACCAAGGAAGTCGTTTCCTTAGCAACAAAATCTACAGGCAGGGGCTGCACTGCCCTGTCCCTTAGCTCTGCTATTACAGTAACAGGATAAAGGAAGAGGGAAGGAAAAAAAAATGAGAAAGGGAAAGAAAGATGGGGTTTCAGGCTGAGTGCCTCAGTGTGACACCGCTGTGGTCCCTCCAGGAAGGGACAATGCTCCGGCACCAGCTCATTGTCGGATGCTTTGGGAACACTCAAAATTTGAGGCGCAAAGTGGGTGAGAGCTGAGGGAGGCAGAGTGGAGGGGGTAAGCACCTGGAGGACTAGACTACAGGTTGGATGTGTAGAAAAGACAAAAAAGGCAACCGGGGCCTGGAGCTCCCAGGCTCAGCCATCCCCAGACACCAGGGGGATCCTGTGACTGAATGAGAACACAGTGAGGGGACAAGGTGAGTGGGGGGAAGTATCCTACAGTTTCCGGTCCTCAGGAGTTCCCCTCAGCGGGTGCCGGGGTAGGAGAGTATAATGAAGGATGCAGAGATCTCCCTTCTGAACTGCTAAGGAGAAACGTGGAGGCCCGGAACCACCCAGGGCACGACCGCGAGATGCTTAAAAAAGTTAAGCAATTCACTCAGACACAAAGGTTGACGGCAATGCTTGGGTTGAAACCAGAAACCATGAGAGCCCGTTTGGAAGGTGGGGGGGCAAAGGGGGTACCAGGAGAGAGGAGGGGGAGCAGAGAGAGACAAAGACAGAGACAGACAGAGGGGGGAGGGAGAGAGGGAGAGAGAGAGGGAAGGAAGGGGAGGGAGGAAAGGGGGAGGGAGAGAGGGAGGGAGGGAGGGGAGAGAGGAAGGAGGGAGGGAGGGAGAGAGGGAGGAAGAAAGGGGGCGCCTTAAATCATTGCTCTGATGACGCACCCTGAATGTGTGAGCACCTGTGCAGCTGTAAACATTGGTCTCCAAAGAACACTTCTGTCCAGGTGCACTCCCTTCCAGAGAGACAGGTTGGGTCCCCCTTCTAGGCTGGTGCTCAAGATTCAGAGGGATGTGGGAGGCATGAGGACGGAAGGGCAGAGAGCCGTGTGTGGAGACAAGGAGACATGTCCCACCTCTTTCCAAAAAGCACTGAGGCGCAGGGTGAGGTGCCTGCAGCCACGCGTCCGTCTATTAGTCGTCTTTGCCGGTTTACAGCTCCCGTCGGCCTCTGGGTTGCCCTCTTCCCACTCCTCTCAGGAAGTGGCCAATGGCCAAATGTCCTTAGGACTCCATTCAGGCTTCTTCTCCCAGGCACCCTGACCACACAGACCGCGTTCAGCCTCTCCTCAGTCACCCTGATCACGCCTTTGGAGGTGGCAGTACATGTGGTCATGTTAGAATCCCAAGGCATGTGTGTGTTTTGCGTGGGACTTCCTGGAAAGCCGTGTCGGCAGAGGCAGGCTGACTCATCAGAGCAGCAGCTACCTGGAGAGGTGGGAATGTTGCAGGTCCAGAGCCCAATTACAGTTTACTCTGGGCTGTCTTCAGGGCCCCGAGTAGCCGTCCCTTAGCTGCCTCTGTTGGACCTAACGTCCTATGACTCACAGGTCACAGGTGAAGGTGAAGCCTTCTGAAATGTTTTAACTCAGCAGACGCCCCAGCGTCCACCAACTCAGGAGCTAAGCCTGTCATCAGAACGCACCCCAGGCCTCCAGCCAGGGCTCCTCCACCAGTGTATCCGGAAAGTGTCTCCATCTGTGACTGGCCTTTTCTATTGCTATGAAAACTTCATGAAACAGCTTCCATGTTGGAACATGGAATCTGGGGAGACCTAAACCTGTGTTCCCGGGCCACGGTCACTCCTATTGGGCTCCAGAATAAACCCTCCCTTCTTTGGAAGTGAGAGCTGTGTTTTTGCGTTGACAGTGTGTATGCGTGTGTGTGTGTGTGTGTGTGTGTGTGTGTGTGTGTGTGTGTGTGTGTATGGGGATATGCTCATGTGTGCTCGCATGAGTGCACATGGCTGTCTGTATGTTTGTGTGTGCATGACCATGCACATGTCACATGCCTCCCCAGGCCGTGAACTCCATGAGCCTGAAAACCCAGTCTTCCTCCTTCGTTTACAGATGTCTCCTGACGCAGACAGTGACAAGCACTGGCCTGATACAGAATCATGTGCCCACCATGTCACATCCCCCACCCACTAGAGCTCAAGCATTTGAGGGACAAGATGGGAAGATCCATCTTCCGGACACTGGCCAGAGAAAGGGGAGAATGGGAGATAATGGTTCCCATGGTGACGGTAGCTTCTGGCTGCTAAGCACCAATTATGTGCTGACAGAAGCTAAGGCTTTCACAAGCCTATCACCCCAAAGTCACTCCCAAGACCCCTGTGAGGAAGGAACGCTTATCCTCCCCATTTCATGTCAGGATGCCAAGGCTCAGAGAGGGAAGGTAATGTGGCCAAGGTGGCACAGCATGAAGGAGGTGGAAGAGGACTTTGAACCCGGGAAGTCTGGTGTGGTGGTCAGAATGAGAATGGGAGAATGGCTGCCATTGGCTCATATATTGGAATGCTTGGTCATGGGGGGAATGGTGAATTTGAAAAGATCAGCGGGATTAGGAAGTGCAGCCTTGCTGGAGTAAGTGCGTCCCTTGGCTTTGAGGTTTTAAAATCCCAAGCCAGGCCCACCCAGTGTCTCTTTCGTTTGTGGATGTAGCTCTCTGCCTGCTGCCATCCTGACACTGTCATGATAACAGACGAACTGTAAGCAAGCTCCCAGCTAAAAGCTTTCTTTCATCAGAGTTGCCTTGGTCACGGTGTCTCCCCACGGCAACAGGACACTGAGGCATCTGGTTTGAGAGCCTGCTTATGTGATCATGTGCTGCTGCATGGTAGGTGTGGGGCAGATACGAGGTTAGGATGAAGAAGGAAGCTGTGAACCCGACTGGATGCTGGGGAGGGATGCTGAGGGTGGTCTACCACGGAGGCGGGGAGGAGACACGGGGCACACGGCCGGTCTTTCCGTGGTTGCCTGGACCTCTAGGACTCCGATTGGGAAACAAGAAGCCACTCAAAGCTGTGGTTCCCAGATTCACACAATGAAACCCCAACTTCCCACACAGGGGCGTTTAGCAATGTCTGGAGGTGTTTTGGGGGTTTTTGAACAGCTGAGCGTGTTGTTGGCGTGTTAGTGGGTAGAGACAAGGAAGGTCGAGTCCCACCCCCACAGTTCACGGAGCATACGGGTGAAATGATATGGACACAAGCCACCCTGAGAGCAGTGGGCTCAGGGGTGGCCATGCAGATGCCTCCCAGTTCTCAGCGGCATGGATGGCTAACAGGTTCCCATGACAACTGCCAGGCAAGGAAGAACCTTGGATTCTGTGGCTTTATAGGTTTTCGGCAACTCTTTCTCCTGCTGGAACTACCCACCCCCCTTCCCCACAATCCATAGAGAAGAATGAGCTAGAGAGGAAGGCGTGGTCCGAGACCTTTTCCTGATGATAAATGAGGGCACAGGACTAATTTGGGGTGGGGTGTAAAAAAAGGAAGTGTAAAACCACAAACGCCCAACTAGCATATGTGGAAGAGACTGGAAAGGGAGGTGTTGAGCCAAAGCCATGACTTGTCTTTCCAGAAAAAAAAAAAAATTATGTGTAGTTTTCCAATCCACTAAGGGGCTGAGGATGTAACTCAGTTGGTAGAGTGCCCGGTTCCATCCCCAGCACCTCATAAACCAGGTGTGGTGGTGCACATCTGTAGTCCCAGCCTTCAGGAGGGGGAGGCAGGAGGATCAGGAGTTCAAAGTCATTCTGAGCTGTTGTGATTTCAAGGCTAGCCTGAGCTACATGAGACCCTGTCTCAACAAACCAAAAATGAATAAATCCATCCCTTGGCGCCTCAGTTAGGCAATTAGACTCTCCGTGTTAAAACAGTGGGAACCTGTTTTCAGTATTGGCTATTATAGTGCTTCCCACTCTGGGGTACACCCAGGAAATGTCTAAGCAAGCAGAGGGAGGGGAGGTATGTCTGGCATCTAGTGAGTTCCTATAAAACTCCACCTTACAAATTTATAATTTATAGCTTTATTTCCTATCTGTCCCGACTAGTTTTGTGTCAACTTGACACAAGCTAGAGTCATCTGAAAGGAGGGATCCTCAATTGAGAAAATGCCCCATGAGATCCAGCTGTAGGGCATTTCCTTAATTAGCGATTGATTAGGGAGGACCCAGCCCATGGTGGGTGGAGCCATCCCTGGGCTGGTGGTCCTGGGTTCTATAAGAACACAGGCTAGGCAAGCCATGGGGAGCAAGCCAGTAAGCAGCACCCCTCCATGGCCTCTGTATCAGCTCCTGCCTCCAGGATCCTGCCCTGCCTGAGTTCCTGTCCTGACTTCCTTTGATGATGGACTCTGGTGTAGAAGTGTATGCTGAATTAACCCTTTCTTTCCCTAGTTGCTTTTGGTCACGGTGTTTATCACAGCAATGGAAACCCAGCTGACGGTGGACTTGGAGATTAAAAAACCTGGTGCCACTTTGTTTCCTTTCTCTGCTTTGTGCTTTGTGGTTGAGGATGTGAGCTCTCAGCTTCCCGCTCCGGCCACCATGTCTGCCACCTGCTGCCATGCTTCCCTGCCACGATGGACTCTTTTCCCTCTGGAATCATAAGCCCAGATAAGCTCATCTGTAAATTCCCTCGGTCATGGTGTTTTACCACAGCAACAGAAAAGTAACTAATATGGGGCTGGAAGCATTTGTAGGGTGCACTGGGCAAATGAAGCTCCCTGGTGAGGAGTGGGCAGGGTGGTGGTGATGAATGCCCAGATGAGCCAGTAAACTGACAAGAAGTGGGTGAACCAGCAAATGAAGCCATGCATAGGATGGATGGACAAGAGTGTGAATGAGCTGTGGATGGATGAATGGATGGGAAAAATCACTGGATGGATGGATGAGTGGATGGGAAAATTGATGGATGGATGGATGGATGGATGGGAAAAAATCACTGAATGGATGGATGAATGGATGAGAAAAATCACTGGATGGATGAATGACTGGATGGGAAAACCACTGGATGGATGAATGAGTGGATGGGAAAAATCACTGGATGGATGAATGACTGGCTGGCTGGCTGGATGGATGGATGGATGGATGGATGGATGGGAAAATCACTGGATGGATGGATGACTGGATGGATGGATGGATGGATGAATGACTGGATGTATGAATGAATGGGAAAATCACTGGATGGATGGATGACTGGATGAATGAATGAATGGATGGATGAATGATTGGATGTATGAATGAATGGGAAAATCACTGGATGGATGGATGACTGGATGGACAAATGACTGGATGAATGAATGAATGGATGGATGAATGAATGAATGGATGGGAAAAACCACTGGATGGAGTCTTCAGAGGTGACTTCTTCCCCTCTGAATGTGCTGTCCTCTCCTGTTCCTTTGCACAAGCCTATGAAGCCAGGTATTTTGCACACAACAGCATGAGAGCCTGGACGCCATATTTGCTCATATTTTCCATTGCTGGCTTCTGAAGGTTACAGCTGTTGAGTGACTTTTTCAAAGTCTCTGCAAGTATCATATTCTTTGTCATGGATACCATTGAAGTCCCTGCCCACAGTCAGTGTGGTGGACACTGTTCAGTGGGCATCACCATCTTAACCAGAGCAGCTGTGACTACCCACTAGCAATTCGGCCTATTGGTGTTCCCTCATGGAAGCGAGGGTTGAGGGGTCATTAGACCCTCATCAGATTCCAGCTCCCTACTCAGATACTCACAGAGATCCGCCTGGCTCTGCCTCCCGAGTGCTGAGATTAAAGGCGTGCGCTGCCGCTACCACTGCCGCTGCCGCCGCAGCCGCCAGGCTCCCTACTCAGAGTTCTTAACTCCAGATTCATCTCAAAGAGGAATGAGCAGGTCTGAATAGGTGAAGAAGGTGTCCTAGTCAGGGTTTCAACTGCTGTGACAAAACAGCGTGAGCAAAGCAAGTTGGGGAGGGAAGGGTTTGTTTGGCACACATTTCCACACCATAGTCCATCACTGAAGGAAGTCAGGACAGGAACTCAAGCAGGGCAGGATCCCGGAGGCAGGAGCTGATGCAGAGGCCATGGAGGGGTGCTGCTTACTGGCTTGCTCCCCATGGCTTGTTCAGACTGCTTTCTTATAGAACCCAGGACCACCAGCCCATGGATGGCCCCACCCACAATGGGCTGGGCCCTCCCCCATCAATCACTAATTAAGAAATGACCCTACAGGCTTGCCTACAGGCAGAACTGATGGAGGCGTTTTTTTTCTCAGTTAAGATTCCTTCCCAGATTTGTCTAGGTTTATGTCAAGTTAAAAAAGAAAAAACAAAACAAAACAAAAACAAAAACAAACAAACAAAAAACCCACACCTGCCCCCAGTGACTCCAGCAAGACTGCATTGCCTAACCTCCCCAAACAGCACCACCAACTGGAAACCTAGGCTTCAAATGCCTGAGATTACGGGGACGTTTCCCAGTCAAACCACCAGACGCCGGCTGCTCAGATCCAGGCATTCCTTTTATAGCTGAACCTGTGTCTTTCCAGATGCTCTTCCTTCGTCCTCAACATTTCGCCCACTCTCTCTAGCCAGGGCGCTGTGGCTCAGAAATAATATCACACAGCCCTGCTGTCTCCCAAGCTTGGCACCCCTCTCTGTAAAGCCAGGGGGTTGAGCTAGGTGAGCCCTAAGGATTGGGAGTATTCCTAGACGAAGAAGGGGCCATGTGTAGGCGTGGAGACAAAGAAACAAACCAACCCCTGGAGAACTAAAGGGACGGAGAAGGGAAGGGCTGGTCACACCTACTCCCCCTAAAGCATCAGCCCTGTCCACCACCACCCCTCACCCCACCCCAG